CTGTCTTCTCAAGTTTGCCCGGAAACATATTCAGATTTGTATACCATTCGATTGGGGAGAATCTCTGCTTTCAGAAAAATATATATCTTGTTGGGCGATTTTGCTTAGTTGAGGAGATTCATCTCCCAAATCAACCCCTCCCTCATTTTATCGCCGCACTTCTTACCGTATACATCCCAGTTCCACACCCTCACAGGAACTTCTTCCACTCATTTTGCACTTTGTTATCAATACACCTTCAAATATATACCGTATATACTACATTCTTTCAACCATTATAGCTATTTTATTAAAGCTATCTGAACTGGCGCTGAGGTGCTCGTTCTTACACATTTTATCTGCAAAGTACACATTTCTGTAGCGCTATAGGCGATACGATCTTCAAGGTACCCGTACTCTCAGATTTACCCAGTAACGTGTCAATTTCTTTGCACCTTTCGATTGCTCAGAATCTCTAATTTAAGAATATCATAAACTTTGCTGGGAAGTTATGATTAAATGAGGAGATATTGCTATTTTCTCAATGCCATACGGGTGGCCATCTTCAAGCCTACCGTAATCTCAGTTTTGCCCGTCAACATATGATTTTGTGTGCACCTTTTGATCCAGCGGAATCTCGGCATTCAAAATGTGATATATTAGGAGAGCAATTTCGCTTACTTCAGCAGGTATAGCTTTTTTCTCAATACTATAGCGGTTGCCATCTTCGAGCCTACCGTGCTCTCTGCTTTACCCAATAACATATGACTTTGTGTACATGGTTTGATCCAGTTTGAGAATATCATGCATTTGCCCTGCAGTTATTATTAGATGTGGGATGTAGCTATTCTCTCAATGCTATGCGGGTTTCCATGTTCGAGTCTACCGTACTCTCATCGTTCATATATTTCTGAACACTGTAAATGTATATATTCATTACTCTTGCACTTATGCTGACAATTATTCATTTGTTTTCCAATTGTTGCTAGAATAATAATAATTGATAAGACCAGTTATCATTATTTTTATAAAACACATTCAGGGATGCTGTCAGCACAGCGTTGCACTGCTGTTCTAATTCCAAATCCCAGAGAACTTTTGTTTTGTTTAAATAATGAGATTCGGAGGAAATTTAATGAAAACTTGCATCTTAGGTGCGCGATTATTTGATTCCTCTTTTCGATTTGCTTCATTAATCTTATTATTTTGTTTCAGCTATATCGCAATTTCATGCTTACTGTTAAAAATGTGTATTTTTCCCAGGTCACTTCCAGTATTTTCGCTTTTTCAGTTTATATAGTGTTATTCAATCCATTTCCCTGTGTATGGACGTTTATTGAAAATATTCCTCGTTTTACGATTGTTTCTGGTCCCTACGCTATGACTTGCTCTTCGCTCTACGTTAAGAATTCGAAAGTTTTCACCTTTTTTGTTAATAGTGATGATGGAAGGTATTAATAATTCGATGATCATTTCGAATAATTCTTCAACTGCAGTTCAGCTGACTAGTATCTCGAGCATCACAGACGATACACATTTCTCTCTCACATATTCTAGCTTGCGTTCATAAAGCGAGCACTTTTGCTGTAAAGGGATAGTGATTTTGCTGCGAAGAGAAGACTTATGCTAACGATGGGACAGACTATCGCTTTTCTCTCCTTCAATGGTTATTCACCAATGACAACGAAGTGAGTTTTGCCATGAAGAGGATAGTGGCGCTCTATCTTTCAATGGGCTGTATTTTCTTCGATCAACTAAAAACTGAGTGAGGAAATTCGTGAACTTAAACATACAAGAAAGGAAGCTAGAAATCAGGCAAAGCAAAAGACCCCAAGCCTTTGCTTAGGTTAACTTATGACAACACTACAGGTATGTTGGCTCTTACATTACGTCAAGCTCGACTTTTTGCCAATAACATAATCAGATAGCTTGCCGTCACCAGTTGATATGTGCCAATCAAGGATCACACATAAATTGTCCGAAACGCTCTCTGCTATTTAAAAGAATGATCAATAATCAGCAATACTGGCAATACGATACGAACGCATTTGATGATGCAGTCTCAGCGATGTTTTCTTCTTAACAAACAAAATATGCATTATGGAATTAGAATCAGCACTGTTGGCGTTCCACGAGTTAATATTTATGTTAGAGACCGACGGAAACAGCACTTAAAACTTTATGGCTAACACTAAAATGAACTGATATCGAGAATGAGTGTTAAATTTTGTTTTTGGGTAAGGTCAAAAGTAATTGGAATGAACACAGAAAAACGAGCGCAATAACGTTGCAAAGAATTTTACGTAGTATTGTACATCTAACAGAAGTTGACCGTCGGAGCAACAATAAATGAAGAGATCGATGAACAACACTCAACGACACAATACACTTAAGAAAAATTCACGAGTGAATCAGTTCACATCAAGTCATTCTAGACAACTTTTTCGTGCATTGTGCAAATGAACAAACATTATAATTTTTAAAAATTTAACAAAACCAAAAAAAAACGAAAAGTATGCAGCGCAAAAACACCAATTTGATGCAAACAAATTATTTGTAATGAAAAAGATTTGAGAACAATTCAGGAGAAAGAAAACGATTCACAGAAGAGACGAGACTTCTTTCATGAAATCAGCATAAGCTTCATCTGTATCCTTGGCCTCTTTACGTTGTGCTGACTCCACTTGAACACCCATTACACTGTACCTAAATCAAAAGACAATCTGTATTGTAAAGAAGCTTTATTACAGTTCACGTTCCCACTTATTCACTTAGCTATTCCCAGTGATAGAAACGACAATAAAGACAAGACCAACTTATTCAAATGTCTTTTGGGAGGCTCTTTACGACGATTCGTGCGAAGCGCCATCGGTACGAAAGTGGTCACTTCTTTGGTGAGGTCCCTTAATTTGGGCTCTGCAGAAATGGTCGCTTGTGCATCTTCTTCGTTTTTGTCCTTCGATGCATCAACTGGCCGACGAACAACTGGTGCAGCTGAGATCACTGATTCGGCAGTTGTGCTTGGGCGCTTATACATAGTTGGTGGTGCCATTCCTGCACGACCCGCTTCTGTAAATCGAACACATAATTCATATCACTGCGAACAGATGTGAAATAACTCACGTAAATTGGGAGGATGTGACGGCAGTCGAAGAGGGAATCGTGGTGGAGGAGGTAACATATTCGGAGGGATTGGCGGTGCACGAACGAGTGGTTGCTGGGTGATCACCGTTGGTGCCGCGCACAGAACTGATGCTGCGGAAGTGGATGAAATGGTGGCAGCAGGTCTCTTTGTTCCTTTCTCACTTCCTTGTTCCATTACTTCGGCTGGTACTGTAAAGACGGTTAGCATGAGATATGCCACATTATCGTGAAAGAATTAAGAAAAAACAGATACATACTATCAACAGGTCCATAATCGTCATCCATAATCTGCTGTGAGAAGTCGTCTTGAATCAGTTTTGTTTCATTTTCTCCAAAACGCACTTTCCTTTTCGATGTGGATACCTGCTCGTCATTATATTCACCATCCATCTTCAGCAGTGGCGGCAGTCCCACTGGAGGTCCTGGCGGCTCACCACGTTCATCAACATCACGTTCTGCCACGCCACTTGTAGTCGTATGCTTCAAAATACCACTTCGAGCTTGTGGCATCAAGTACTGCGATGGAATCGACGGCGCAACTGGTGTCATCGCAGCATTTGGTAATGAACTTCCATCTGGCAGTGGAATTTCCACTGGATTAGCTTCTAACGAAAAGCGTTGAGCATCTGAAATATTGTTGGAAAATATGAACGAAACTTGTCCTGATAGGCCATGTCATCATCCTGTTTAAATAATGACTAAATTTGAAAAGCGTACGGCTAAACAGCAACGTTACGAAAACTCACTGTATTGTTGCAATTTTTGAGCTCTTTCCACTTCGTAACGATCCATTTTTTCGTGTAATTCTTTGATTTTCTCATCGCGCTTTTCTTGTTTATACAGATTGATTACTTCGCTGAACGTCTGTTTCAATTTTGCACGCTTCTCGTTGAAAACATACTTGCTATGATGTTCCACATGAATGTCGAATTCTGCAAGAGATCAATTTAACACTCGCTAACGAGAACATAAATAACCTGTGATTCAAAACAGCTGAAAATGAACCGATTGAAAATAGATAATGAAAATGAAAGTTTAACGATTCGAACGAACCTTGTTCATCAAGACGTCTCAGATTTTCGATAATTTCATCAACATCCTTGCTTTTCAAGATTGCTTGACGGACCATCGTCCGTTGCTTCTTATTCCTTTTCAGTTCCTTTTGTCGCATACTTTTTCGCTCTTGATCAGCCGGATTCATGAACCGACCAGATTTGGTCGTACTGCCTGGCCTGCGTCCCATTTTTATTTCCCTTTCCTGAAAATTTACCGCAGTTCCAAATTTAGCTACGGGCGATAAAAAATGGAATTCACTATTATTCCAGGTATCATTCAGCATCTTCATAACACAGATCGTCCATAAAAACTGCACGCAGCAAACACGAAAATTATGAAAATAACGTACAATAAAATGGAAAAGCTCAAGGGCAGCAGAGTTTCCAATACAACTTTGGCTAATTTGAAATGAACAACTAATCAGTTCTAAACTTTATTCAAGCTTCATGCTAACCATATGAACAAGAACATCGCCCTCACAAAAACAAGCTAACAAATCACCATCGTCAAATTGTAAAAATCATCCGGATGATCAGCTTAATGGGCGACATTCTCAACCTGAGCGTTAGCCCAAACCCAACCTCACTCTAAGCTTGTGCCCAAGTCCAGTGGATCAGGCTGAATTGTACCTGGATGATTTTCACTCAGCACATGTTTATCAGATCTTGAATGAATGGTAATATAAAAAGTTCACGACTGGCAATAATTGAAAGTGCTCTTCAATTCTGATCATAGTGTAATTATACACCGAAACGCCATTAATTAATAACTTCATTCTCCTAACATTTCTTCAACTCCTTTTTTCGCATTGCACACAAATCCTTTCAACTATTCGCAGTTATAACATAATTTCTTATTCCATCGTTTAGTACGTGCCATCTTTGGAATGCTGCCAAAATCTGAACCATGCCCATCACTGTCTCGATTGGCCAGCTAAAATCGCTTATCGATGGCAACTCCTCACAATCAGATGGGTAACCGACAAATGCGTCCGTGACAAGTTTAAATTCGGACATAAACGATGATGCAAATTGTCAGAGTGGCAACTTGTCACGGACGAAATTGTCGTAGATCCGCTCAGTAATCGACGAGAGTATTTACTTTTTGGTTTGTCAGTAAAAATTCTTGCAAATTATGATCGTTTTTCAACGTAGCGTTGTGATAATGAAAATAAGTTCATGCGGACTGGATCGAACGTTCTGTTCCACCAGGATAGCTCTCAAAAATTTAGAGTGCGGTAGCAGAATAGTTTGAACGCCAGCATCGAATAGGACAGTGTCGGAATTCTGGGGTGAGGCCGTGGGAATAGATTCGGAAAGAACGGCTCGGCCGGCACTACAGAATAAAACAAACCCGAAACTCTTTGGTGCAGGAATGGAACGGAATAAAACAGCTTCAAAGAATGACTGTGAAACAGAATGGAACAGTTCGGAAGGAGAGTACAAGAAAATAGTTTGCCAAAATGTGGGACATAGAATTATCAGCAGTCGAAGATAGGCGCATTACTGCGCGCAGGATGGGGCAACCCACCCCACTCACGACTTGCAGCACTCCTTTCCCTTTGGAAGAATCCTTCGTTTTCACTGGTAGTCCTTTTCTCCAGGAACCTCTCCCGTCCTCCCCTCTCTGGACATTCATGAGCAAGAACGCAGACACTGGAAAGGAGCTCAAATGAAGAAACAGGCAGGCAATGAAGTCGTAAACACGATATCAAAAGTATAAAGAGTTTATTCCAACTTCACTCTATGCTTATCAGTTCCAATGACAGCATATGTATGGGTAACGATCAAGTAGTTGAAATAAATCAGAAACATCACGAAATGGGCACAACAAAAGATGGCATTCAACAATGGGAATATATCTGGATATCGTTTAGGAGGTGATATAACCAGACTCGCAGCACATAGTGTAACACTTGCCAAACAGCTCGAATGTACTATCGTCCACTGCAAAGAAACAAATTCATTTTTACCACTGCAAGTTACTTAACAGGTTTTGTAAACCACTTAAAAGATTGATCGGGAATTCAAAATACGGAATCAAAAAAAGAAAATAAGCGAACAAGTTGTTTAGAAGGACTAAACTCTTATCTATCATCAATCATCAATTTAAAAAGAATAAAATGTGACAAAAGCACACGAAAGATACATACCTTAAGCTGAGAAAGTTTTGATAATTTTGGGCTCAAGAGGAAATAATATGATATAAATATGATCAAATGTATCGCATTGCCATCCTTCACACACAGAGGATAAAGACTGAAACGATTTATTCGGATGAATAGATGTTCAATTCACAGAACATTTAGTACATCTTCGAAATTTACAGTACGAATCGAAATGTTATACTCTTCCAGAGATGCTTACTTACCTACAGTTTGTGATAATCAAAAACCATGAAATGGTCACTGGTCGATCGTTCCAAATGATGAGAGCCGGCCTAGAAAACAATTTTGAAATACTATATCTGTAAACTTTTCAGACAATTACAGAAATATTGCTTTACTTGGATATTCAAAGTACAAGCTGAATACGTTAAATAAAGAGCATTTCCTGCAAACAACCAGAAACCAAAAGAAAACGTTAAAGAAATAGAAAAACTCACACAGCAGCCAATAGGATCGATTTCTCATGAACTTGGAATGAGAATAAAAAGAATGATAAACTCGACACGAACAATGCATTCTTGAAGTTCGATGCATCCGGACGTAATAACAATGCAAGTATGCATGGGATATGTGCACACAGCACACAAACTGTGCTGAAAATTTGTGAATGCTTAGTGTGAATACAAATGAAGCGTATGAAAAAAATATCAACGTGAGTAAAATAACTATGAGAAATTGTTTAATTCACAAAAAGGCTAAGAACACACCTCAACTTGATCAAACCAGTTGCGTCATAACCTTTCAGTTTCACCACAACATTTAGTGCACACCATAAATTTGCCACCTTGTCCTGCAACACAAATTCACTTCTAAACGATTGAATCAAACATATAAATCGAGAATATTCCCATACTTCCAACTCATACCACACTCCCTAATGGAGTATTATTTTGCAGAAATTTATATGCAAACAACATCGTCGAAAAGAGAGTGTGTGACTGAAATGGCGAATATGAAATGAAATTAAATTTCACGTTGTTTACAATTACCTCGAAAATGCCACGGTAAAATGGAAAAATTCGATGCAATATTTGCAGTAGGTCAGCATGTGCGACGATAAACGGACACCATATGAGCAAAAATGTGATGGCAACAACCAAAAACAATTTCATCAATTCTTTAAAACTGAAAGTTTGGAAAGATAAGAAAGAATATTCAGTGAAAATGTTCCAACTGGTTTCATAATTGTTGGGTATTTATTGATAAATTTTCACGTGAATGTGATCATCAAAATTTTTTCCCTGATCAAAACATAGAGTGGAAAAAGAAAGACGAAACAAAAGAATAAGGAAATGAGAAAAGAAACGTTGATGTGATGTTTCGAAGAGTCGATGAGGTTGAATGAATGGACGTAGAGAAGAGGAAAGCGGCGATCGGCAACGAATGGTAGAGTTGCATTTGTTTGAAATTCAGCGCCATCACAAACAGCGCACATGCAGCCACTCGCCATCTCAACGTCAAGCACAGCACTGCGAACAGTGATAATCCCAGCGATACATGATTGTATCTGAAGCATCAATCTTATTAATAAACAATTATCAGTTCGCACCCTCTCAACAATACCTCCTTATTTCTCTTCGACAACAAATCATTTTTGAACGCAACTGTATCGGCAGTACAATTCAAATGCTCAAAAAATAACTTACTGGAAATGACCATTGTCGATACTGATCAATGCAGGGTAGAATATGGCAACGCAACAATGGTATATTTTTTGACTAGATGATGACGACAGATGGATGAACACGACCAAAACGGGAATATACAGCAACCACAGCGAAACCAAAACAGTGACTCGCATGAATAATTTATGTGAAGTGCTTTCGATTCCTCGCGATTGATACAGAGCAACCCATGAACGATTCAAATGACCGCTTCTAGATTATCATCAAGTGATTGATACTCTTTCATATCATAACCAACTAATACCTTCTTCATTTAACTTCATCATANCATAACTCAATACGTAGATTTTTTCAAAAGTAATAGCACTATCCGAAATATGCACAGCTGAATCAGCCCAAATATGAACCATTCTTAAGCCGAGAGACAGATAAGTAATTTTGTCAGGTGCGTACTTCCATTTAATTATCTTAATTTCAATTGTTTTTGTGCTCCATTATGCACTCAAAATGAGCTCCACACCGCGTAAAAGTTTCTAATGGAACATACTGGAAATGTACTAACAATTTGCCGAGCACAAAACTGTGAAAAGCCGTGAGAGGTGGATAATCAAGTCCCCAATAATTCAGATCATTATCACTACCATTCACATACCTTAACTGTGAATATTGATAAAAATTCGAAAATAATCTCAGCAATGCATAGAATAGTGCAACGATTCACTGAAACACACTATAAGTTGAGTGTTAAAGATGTAGTTTATGAATAAATCTAATGGAATGAAATCACAACAACGACCCTCAGATTATTTGAACAAAAAAATTCGAAGTATAATGATATGAAGGTACAACACCCACCATTTGTCAATGGGTAAATGTATCGTCAATTCCATCCAGTGGCGTTGAGCTTCGAAATCACCAAACATTGGTGGTGTACCCAGTCCTAAAATACAAATAACGTCGTTCAGAAAGATGAGGCGTGAATAATCTACGCTTATGACGCCCTGAAATAAAAACCTATGCAGCGCTTATGAAGACGGACAGCACATAGGTGCAATTCAATCTTACTTGTTGGTCACTCAAAAACGTCAACGATGAATAATTTCAGCACGAGACGAGACTGAACAAAATTGTTCAGGTATTCTTTGAAAATATCATTATCCCGCCACCTGATCAACACTTTAAATGTACATCAGCAAAATGATTTCACTGCTAGGATGAAAAGCCGTTAAGAATGAGATTTCCATTAACTGTCTCTGGCTGAGAAAAAGAAACAAATAAATAAAATAGACGAAAAAAAGTGGGATACAAACCTGAATAAGATCCCGATGAGACTGCCACCTGAATGGAAAGCGCAAAGAAGAAAATGCATAAAATTCCCAATCGATTTGATAGCATATTTGTCAGTTCACAGTCCGCATTTTTTTCATCGGATGGATTACGCAGTAACTCGGTACTTGACATCCTTTTGAGTCGCTTATATTGCTATCTGAAATCACACAGTATCGGTGATCCTGCAAATGAACAACCAACTCGCACGTCCACTCAGATTCATCCATATGGGCTCAGTTTCAAGATAATATGATTATCGAATGGCAAAAGATGATACCATCAGAAAGCCTTTAAGGAACCGAAGTGAATAAGGCCACAACATAGTGAATCTGAACAGATGTGATCAGATGGGTCTACGACAATTTGCTTGATAGTATAGACAATTTGCTTGATAGTTTGCCACGTATTATTTGGGTGTACGACAATTCAAATAATACGTGGCAAAGGGAACGTTTATCAGTTCAGGCACTGTGTAGCGTTGCTTATTTTCATATAAGCCATTCGAAAAGGTTTTATAAGCTGGTCGTGATCATAAGCCGTCATCTGTTGTCACGTTTAGCGACTCCACCGTCGTATTATTGGCTCGTTGAACACTATCGTGATTGTTTTTAACTGAATACTGCAAACGATCGATCGACGGAGCATTCTTTCATTTCATGAGTTGCGCTCGGTATCTTAATAGTATAAAGCGATATTCGCTAACGATGAATAAGGATCTACGTGCAATCATTCAATTGGGTACAGCATTCATGCTCATTTTTTCGGCTTTCAACAGTCAAGGCTTTGTTGAAGTTAGTTCATTCTTCATTTTTATGATCTCTTTTAAAGTTCTAGCTCTAACGAATTGCAAAGGATTCTTTTGAATGATTTTGCAGATCGCTGTATTGAGCAGTGTTGCGCACGATCGTCCAGAATCCGGTATCACTGAGCAGTCCGGTTATTACAGGTGGAACCACTGATTCCTTGATTTGTGTTTATAATTTTGTTTTGGATTGCAAAAGCTTCTGTGAAAGGTCGCAGAGAACCTAACTAGTTGGTTGTTTTCCTCTTTTCTTTGTAATTAAAAATGTGCGAACTATTTTTTCTTTTTTATTTTCAGTTTATCCATAATATATTTCGTTTTTACAATCTCAAACTTGCTGGCACCCGTAGTGATCAATATAATTGGATGTAAATGGTCCATGGTGTTAGGTGCCTTAACATATTGCTTATTTATGCTGGGATTTTTGCATCTTCAAGCCACATTGCTCTACGCACTCTCGGCACTCGCCGGATTTGGCGCAGCAAGTTAGCTGTTCATAATTGATTTAGTTTCTAAAAGTTTTGTTCCACTTTTACATGTGATTTCTTCAATAGATTCTCGACAAGGAAATCTGATTTTTGGGAGGAAAGAGGATTGGTTTAGGAGCTCGGTTATCTTTTATTCGTGTTTCGTTGTTTTTGAGGATGAATTAATGTTTGACGTGATTTTACAGTTTTATGGACTGGCCAAGGAGTGTATCTGACCGAATGGTCACGATTCGATACGATGGCACGTAATAGTGGTATACTTTGGGCAATGCTTCAGTCATGTCTTATTTTTGGAGGAATTTTCTTGTTTTCTTTGTTCTTCTCGAGGTATCCATCCATCCATGCATCCGTTGTTTTACTCATGCAAGAGTATGCTTATCATGATTCTTATCATAAACAAGCTTTCAGTACAATAACCAGTTCAACCAGGCTTATGTATACGTCGTTTTCGGCGATTTGTCTCGGTGGTGCGCTGGTTTTAGCGTTTTTACCATCCGTACCACGGAGTAATCGTTTGGGTGAAAACAGCAGCAATCAACAGATCGAAGAGGAAGAAGGCATCGATGGTGGTGATACAACTAGTGATGATCAAGCAAATCTGATCAGTGATCGTTCAACAATTCCAATCAGAAGTCACTCCGTACCAACTGCCACTTCTATTTCACCACATCTTAGATCATGGAAGCACGAATTTGGTATGTTGTTTTTGTGTTATTGTCTTCTCATCTTTCATAACACTGGTGTCTTGTGCCCACAATACGAGTATTCATGCATGTAAATGCTACAATAGAAGTGTCGTAATATAAGTGAAGTAAAACTTGTGATTTCATCAGTTTTGTTTTTCAGTAAACACATTACGAGTTTTGAATTCACGACGAATGTTCTTGCTGTCGTTTGTTTTCATGTATTCTGGCATTGAGCTGACGTTTTACACGGGTGTTTATTCGGCATGTCTTGCTGCTTTTCAAGCACTCAACGATCCAAACGGTCTAATTGTTGCATACAATGCATTAGCGTTAGGCGTCGGACAAATCAGCGGTATGAAAATTTCATCAACTTATCCTTTTAATTCTAGTTATCTTCACTTGTTCTGTCGTTCTTTCGTTATTCCACTTTTTCTCCAATTCCAAGCTTGTATTTATTATGAAAATGTCAGAGCATAGTTCAGATCGGATCCAATGCTATTGAAGCGCGCTAGGCGTCTGCTTGAAATTAACTGCAGTTTATTATCATTGCTTGCCTTGAAGTTGATCTCTTCACATTTGATTGAACATCGTTTGTAGGTGGTGTTTTGTTTGGAATTTGTTCAAAACGGACCCTCACTCAAGGCCGTAATCCTGTGATCCTTATCGGCACATGTGTTCATCTATTGGCATTCTTCTTAATATTCCTTAATGTCCCCATGGAAGCACCGCTTCACAAAACGGGTGCGCATGCTTTTATTGAGCCAAGGTCGGTGTGATTGTTTCGTTTTCTCCTTTGTTATTATTATTATTACTATCAGTAATGCAGTCTTCATTAATTATCAGTTTCTTGGAAACTAATTGCATCAGTATTTTGAATTTTAGTTACAATTTGGCTATATTGTGCGGACTATTTCTGGGCTTTGGCGACAGCTGTTGGAATACACAAATTTATTCATTACTTGGCTCATTGTATACTATCAACAGTTCAAATGCATTCGCACTGTTCAAATTCTTCCAGGTATTCTATTGTTACATTTCATATTTTATTGTCATTATTTGGTTGGGTTATTGTGATGGAATTAATTGTTGTAATGATGAACAATAGTGTTCTATGCCAAATGCTGACAAGAATAGGAATTGATAATGCATAAAACAAAGGTTGTGATAAGTTTATTGTTGTAGTCATTAGCTGCATGCGCCAGTTTTTATTATGGATCTGTGCTGTTATTACATTGGCAACTGGCGATCATGGCTGTTGGAGCAGTGCTCTCTGCTTTGTGTTTCTTCCCGGTCGAGTGGGAAGCGATAGCGATTGCAACACCGCCACAAATTTATCCATAATTTTTTCTTTCCATCTTGTAATCCCTGAAATATACCCGACTAAATTACATTGGTCTTATGCGTGAAAGTGTACACTTGAACATAACATCAAAAGCAACTCTAAATTTAGTCCAAGCAGACTTTGCTAGAATTGTATCAGGTGCATTTCACAACGTTATTCTGTTCATTCCCCAAATAATTATTCAAATTTGTTTTCTACTGTAACTGCGCGCGGCTTGATTATTATTTTGTTTCTTGTCTCGCCTATATATCTATTTGTTCATTCTTTATTCATTTAGAATATTCAGCTGCATTAGTAAATTAATTTGTTGCTTGTTTTTATTGATGTTTATTTATTTATCTCTCAATATAATCTGTTCATTCATCTCTTTTAATTATTTCTTAGCTGGTCATTCGATCTGCTGAGTGTTTGCTTATTGTTTATTTATTCGTTCAACGAATCGTAAATTTAGTTGTTTGAAATGCATACATATCTCTACATCGGCCGGCTTGTTTTTACATTCGAAATGTGCAAAAAGTGAAATGTGCATTGATAGTTTCGTTTCCGATCAAATCGTATTATGTAAATATATTTATATTATGGAGTAATGCAGTTGCTTTTTTGTTATTCAATAATTGTTTTTGTTTCATCATATTATTAAGCATTATTTTATATGGATAAATATTGTATAACACAGTTGAGAGCAGATCATTTTATCTTTGATTATTATTGTTTGATAGTGACGGTAATAAGTGCTGATGCAGTGTAATGAATAAGTTGTGCTTAGAGTGGTTCTGTTTGTGAATATAATAGCTTTCGTTCGGTTGATAATGCGACACGCGACTGATTGTAGCAGAATGTCTTTTTGGGTTGGTCGTTGATGAATTTTAATTATTTGCTTGCTATTCCATTAAACGAATCATCAACAAGCGGTTTTATTTTACGTGATTTTTGTGTCAGGGAAATTCGTTTCTTGATGAAATAATTCGTCAAATTTAATTTAGTATCGTTTATTTATTTATGTCTTTGTTGTTTGGGCATTACTTATTCTATGAAGTAGAATAAGGTAATGCGGGAACGTTTAGGGCGCGTTGATTTGAATGTAACTGGATAAATTGATTCAATGTGTTATCCAGTTACATTTCTTTGACGGTGCAATTGATTTGATAAATTAGTTGATGGCAATTAAGTGGTCGATTGATTTTATTCATTTTTGTTTTTTGTTGTTTCATTGCTAATAGTGAGGGTGTTGTAGATATTAGCGATATGCATACGAAAACTGCTAGTATATTTTGTCATTGAAATAGATGATTGCTTATCGTGTGTCTAGTAGAGTTCATATGAATTAGCGTGCAATATTTCTCGAATCAAGTTCTGTTGTAAATACATAAATATACACATCTCCATGATTTCATGCCATATGTGATTACATTTCTTTGATTCGTTTTATTAATTGTATGCGGGCGTGCTGTGCTGTTCAGCTTTTTATTGCATATTTCTTTTTGTTTATTGATAGTGGATGGCGTTCATCATTTGCGTATTTATTTCGTTTATACTCTCGCGAACTTTATGGTCCAGAAATGCATTGATTTATTCTTTCATTACGTCGTAGTTGTTAGCTGACACTGGTGGTGGTGAATGCAGTTTATTCGATCGAGTAAACTGGGCGGGTGTGGTGAATCGAAAAGTGGAATGACATCTCAGGTAATTCTTTTATGCTATTGGTGATAGCAGTGTTGATAATAATAATAATAATAGCGCTTCAAGTTTGCTCTAAGAAGTAATGTATTGTTGGAAAGCAAAAAAGTCGGAGAATCCGAAAATGTCGCAACGAAAAAAGTCGGACATGGGAACGAGAAACTTTGGGCGAAAAACTCAGTTTTCCTCGGTCCTCGAAATCACCCGGAAATGAAATCCTTGAAAACAGAAATATATTATGTAAAAGCACCGAATTGAAGCAGTTTGTAGGATACGACAGCGAAAGACACTGTGCGTTTTCGACGATAATTTTTCACCGAACCACCTGAAAAATAAACAATGTCTTCAGCGAGAAAAATTGACCAACATTCTAGAATGACAAACAACGTAGACTTCTCCTTATTCCCGTTGTGAAAATCGTCTGATTTTATCACTGAAAGTTTAAGCCAAGTTACAGTTCACAGCAACAGCTCTGTCACAGAGATCAGAAATGCGTTTTGTCCAAATGGTACTGACAATGAGATAAACAGATAAACAGGAACATCCCGTTCCTATGATAGTAAAAGTTGATCTTCGAACTGTCATCACGCATTATTTTTATTTTCTTGCTGGGCACATCTATCTCATAAGCATCTCGACTAGACGAGTGGTCGAGAAGGCCCTCCGTTCCGCAACAAACTCCTTTGCACATATCGAGCAAACGCATTTCATATTGCTTAGTTTTGCTCTCACAAAATCAAATGTTGCCACGCTACGCTCTCGTTGACTAAAAGTTTCCCATTTTTGCCCTGTTGGGCCGTTGTAGAGTGGATATGCTGCCGACCGCAGCATTCGACAACATCCAACGATTATAACACAGCCACTGCATTTCTGAAGGAGTTAATCGCAAAGCTCGCTGATGAGACTGTACTAGCAATATGCGGGCAACAGCCCCCGAGGTAACTGCTCTCCAAACAATTACCTTCAATAACAAAAAGATTCGAAATTGTACTTTAACCTGAAGCAAAATGTCAGCTGTGAACTGTTGAAGCAAAGTGTCAATTTTTTGCTCCACACGTGGTACAGTCTCGAAAGGTTCATGTGTATGTGGGAGAGCGCAAATGGAGTGGAGTGAAGGAGTATCGTGAGCCAATGGAAGAAGCCTACGGAAAGCTATTTTTTGGTTTGTAATTGGATTGGATACGAAATGATTCCTCAAAATTGAATTGAGATTTGACGTTGGACATGCTGAATGGATGTGAAGCTGCAGTGAAGACATGTAGCTCAATCTAATCTAAAGAAAATGAACATAATTTTATAGTGAAATTTTGTACCTCCTCCTAGACGTGCATAATTCAATAATTACGAACCCGTCATGTTACGTACGAACAGCTTCGAATAACATGAATTGTCTATTATGAATATAATTATTGAATTTGAATTCCATTGATGTGTATTTGAAAAAACAAAAGAAACGTTAAACATATGATTTGCAATAATCATACAAATAGGCATCTCCATAACCAAAGCTCTGATTATGCGATAACAGCAACAACAAGAATTGTGCAGTAATAGTAATGATGATAAATAATATCGATAGTAATCATCATAATAATAATATTAGAAGGTATATATGTGATGAGCACATCTGATGAAAAAAGCAACAAACAAGTGAAATTGATAAATTCTAGTTCATAATTATTTTGTCATTGAATTTATCGTATATCTTCAAACAATAAAAGTGATATGAATAGTGGTCTTGGTAGGAAGAATAATATTAGTAATACTTATAATAATAATGCTAAACATAATGTGTATAAAAATGAGAATGAGACGAAAATGCTTGAACTTAATTCGCTTGTTGAATTGGTTTGTGTTGTTGATTCAGTTTTCTTGTTCGTATATTTCGTGTTTCGTTGTTGAAGAATTTCGTTTTTTGCTCAACTTTTTCCGGGCAGAAAAACATTCACATTACATCTTTTTTCTTGTCATCATTTGGCAAAACTCTGCAAAAGAAAACAATGAAGTTGAATCAAACGAATGAATCGTATTTTCGCCAAACACATTATCATCAATTCACTTCCGCTATATCGCTTCTATCTGTTTTTGTTCTATTAAACCATAAAACTTTCTCCCTGAAAAGTTAGTTCATCGATGAAAATGCTCACTGAAAAAATATGCCTTTTCGTGGACTTTCTTCGTGCTATGCGAAAGCAACCTAAGCCAGCCATACAAGGAACGAACAAACCTTGAAAGTTGATCTTTCCATCATTATTCGAATCAACATGCTTATAAATGGCTTTAATATCACTATCGGATAGCGTATGACCCATTCGCTGGAAGGCAG